ACAACATGCATGGTGATAATCCCGCTTGGAAGCTCTCCAAATGGTGCTCTACACTGGGCAACAGTCTTGTTGTTTTCCAAAATCTTCCCAGCATTTATCAATTTTATGTCGTTTGCTCCTTTTGGTGCAATCTTTTTATCTAATATCATTGCATTTAAATAATTTTAGAAATAAAAATGATGAGCAGATTAAAGTTAAGGAGCACAAGAAAATGATAAAAAGAAGAAAAAAGGGACAAGTGTAATGTAACAAAGGTTCCTCCTCAATCCTGCTCGAAATAGTTCACTATCTGAAAGCCATAAGGTAGCAGAATTTGTAACATCTTAACATCAGAGAGAGAAACTTCTTAGCAAATTTTGAAAAAAGAAAAAATTTTGCTATAAGATTTTGAACACCATATTTTAGAGATTCATCCACCTTGGTGTGGTATAGGCTTAGACTGAGGAGATAACTTACACCTATAACTTTTACAAGATAACCATCGAGATATTTTCACAAACAGCATGGTTAAACATTTAAAGTTCATGTGTGCGAGGAATGCCTAAGTGAAATGCAGACAAGTCCACTACCGCCTCAAACCACCTACTGGTACTAGAACGAAGCAACAAGAAAAGGCACACCAATAATAACTATAAGTTTGGTTTACATACTAAACTAGTAACATAAAGGATCCCAGAGCATGTCTTTTAGTTGCATAGATCTCAGGTATCCTAAAGAAAGACAGCGAGTACAAATGGACATAATACAGAATTAAACAGATCCTTATCACAAATTGTCAAAATAAGCCCAAAAGAAACATTGCCTTTATAAGCATGAAGATCATGAGAAGTTGCACACTCGTGATCTGATCACTTTTGTAGAAAAAGTCTGTCGGACTAATTATTCGGCCAAACAGAGATGTCATGCAGAATAATCCTATAAAAGTGGTTTTCACAGGCACCATTATATGGGTCCACCGTTTGGCGGTGGGTTCTACCTGCTAAAAAATGCTCCTATTTCAAAATAATTCAAACAGATCCTTCCATTCATATCTTCTTCTTCACATAAAAGTAACTTCTTTGGTCTACAAGAAACAAATCACTAGCTTTCCATCATTAACATCTTATCTTGGACTTTTATATTCTCCCTTCCCACATGCCTAAAAAGAAAGCGAGCGGTACTGTGGCAATCCATTTCCGAAGTTTGAACACAGCGTTTCCATGGTTACGTGAAATCCATATTTAAATAAAATCTGAATACCAGAACGGCTGAAATGCAAAACACCTGAAACAAAGAAGTTACCAGAAACTACAGAAGTATTTTTGTTCAACTTCTAACACCGCATATTTCAAGAGTGCTTAACAGCACTCAATCCCTTCTGTTGGGTTTAATCTTAAAAAAAATTACGAAAACTTCAGCAAAATCTGCAGATGAAAAGGGTTGGTCTCTAATAAATTCCCATTCCATGACCGAGAAATATCCAAATGATGAAACTTTTGCATTCTGGTCATCGACAAACAACGAAAATTCAATAAACATTACATCCATGAAAGTGGCATTCACTACTTAAAAATAAAAACTCGCAAAAAATCATCAAACGGAAAGTGGAGGTCACTGACCTTTTGGCCACTCGGCCACGATTCTCTCCTTGAGCATTGCCACGGTGGACGCAGGCGAGTAGCGGAACGGGCCGATATCCGATCCATCATACAGACGGAACTTGAGCTCCACCAGGTCCTCCTCCGGCATTTGAAAAAAGCTCAAACTTTCCACACCAATTCAACCCACTCAACACCAAAACGCTTCCACTCCAATACTCTGTTTACTTCCTGACCACCATAAAAAAAACACCCAATTTAATCACAATTTTGATAATCCCCCAATAATTAGCTCATTTTATCAATGCACTGGAGCTGGATAATTCTTCATTTCAAGAAATAAAAAAAGAGATAAAATGGCCAAATAATTCCGCAATTATCGGAGTAATCGGGACACATACCGGAAGGAAGACAAGGATCGGGCAAAGGGGAGAGCTTTGTTGCTTTTGCCCTTTGCGCGTCTGACTAGGGTTTTAGGCGAGGAGAAAACCCTAAGACGCGATCTTGCTTCTTTTGGATATTTTCCCCAGCAGATAGAGTAGAAAAATAATTCAAATTGTTTTATTCGGGAAGCAATTGCCTTCTATTTTTCTAATTTTCTCGGGACGAAAAGAACATTTAACCAAAAAATAGAAAAGAAAAAAGTGAGATTTGGATTTCGAATGCTGTCAGTGAGTAAATAGTATCTGGGTTTTTTTGTGAGTAAAAGTAGACCCTGTAAGAACGAGAGAATCTGGGTCCTCTGTTTCGGGGACACTCGCAGTAATCTCCGACGAGTGAGTGAAAAATAAATTTTTAGTTGTGACGGGATCATTAATTGTCGGATGAAGAGTGAATGGCGGAAGTTGGGAGTAGGAAGGGTCGCCTCACTTTCTGGGTCCCTTCACATTGACCAGAATTTAGAGGGGAGGTTAACTCGCGGGCAAATCTAGGTGTTATATTTATAGAAAGTTAAGATAAATAGTCATTTAGAGCCGTTATACCACATAGAGATGTTAAAAAAATAAATGTTAAATATTAATTTAATGATTTCCGTGATAATGTCAATTTTTTTTTTCAAACTCTTTTTTTATTTGTTACAAATGACATTTGTAAGACTCATCTTTAAAAAGAAATCAATTGAAGTAAGTTTTCAAGATCTATTATTGGTGTAGGATTGACATCACTTTTCTCATATGTCAAATTTTGTAACAGAAAATTTATATGTCAATTCAAGTAGGATTGACATATATGTTAGAGTTTCTTCCTTAAATTTGATTGCAAGACATTCCATAACTTGACATCTCCTTTGGAGATGGTGTTAGCTAGCTTGTTGAAGTTTTATTTTTCTATATTTTTTGTTAAGGTAGCCAAAGGGCCTTATTTAACTAGGCTGTTAAAAATGCTCTTAAAAAAGGGGACCAGCTGGCGGCGAAACCACGATATTCTACTATTTTGAAAGCCGAAAAGACTTACATAGACATTTCAACCTTCTTCTAATCATTATTGTGTGATTCAATAATGTTAAGAATTGAACTGAGAGTGAACTTTGTGTAATACGGTCCAAGAATTTGTTGCAACCACTGAACCACCCGTAGTAATTGTTGTTAGAGATGCTCTTAATATAGAGACTTCATCCGCCAAAAATTAACACTTAGATAGGTGTGTGAAAGTTGTTAGTTCCTACAAGACGTTAGGACACTAATCCAAGAAAGATATCATATGCTTCAGGCTGATCCACTAAAAATTTAGTATAATTTCCCAATAACATCCGCCCAACCCAACTCTATGTTAACCCAAAATATTAACGTAGAGGGTCCAGCCATACATGCACTTCGGGCCCGCTCGTCTAAAACACAGCCCGAACCACAAGACATTGCACGTGGGCTCCACTCTCTTCCTCTTTTTTTTTTTAAAGAAAAACTAATTTAAAATGTTTGAAAACTTTGAGTTTTAACGAACAAAATAAAGGGTAAAGTAAATAGTACCATGTTTGACTTTTTAATATAAAAATGTGATTTTTCTTTAAAGTGAAAGTACCACGGATTTTCGTTAAAACTCCCATTTTTTTAATGGCTGGAATATGACCATTTCCTCTTCGGATTCCTTCCATCCAAACCCTTCAATCTTGTTCTTCAGCCGAACATCAAAACGGTTAGGAGTTAACTAACTTTTTCATGTTCTTCTTTTTCTCCCATTTTCTCTCTCTATTTGACTCTCTTCTATCTCTATCTGAGAGGACTTGGTTTCCACTTTAGGCAACCGAAGGTCAGAATACGATAGGGGGAGCGTGGTTGGGCGGCACTTGGAGCAAGCACTCATTAGAGAACACAGAGAATTCCAACCCGTAATAACTAGGTTTAGTGTTACAAAAGTATTGTTGATAAATTCTTTAATAAAAGAGTTTATTATCGTACATGGCTTTTTTTATATTAGAGAATATATCGGTTATGTAAGGCAAATTTTATACAAAGTTGATATATATCGCTTTTAAGGTAACAAAAAAGCACAAATTATAATTTAGCATCATCACAACATCGGGTGTCGATATTCTAGTACATTGAAACCTTTTTTCTAAGTACTAACTAAGTCAACTTTATACATCTATACATAGCATCACCCTTGTACCATTTTTCGGTCGTAATATGATAAATTTCATGTCACTGACGCATACTTTACTAGCAACAAGAAGATGCAGCACGTGTCATGCCTAAAAGCTTGTCCAGTCACAACGCCGACGCACATCTAAATTAAACATAGACCATCATTTGACTCCTGTCCTGCGTGATGGGATTTGACTATGTTGTTGTATGACGTGGCCGCAAGGGTTCCGATGTTGTAGCGGGACCTATAACACATAACGGAAAAGACTTGAGCGCACCATCCATCCGTCATCTCCGCTGAAAAGTTTTCCGATCTAATGAGTTGGCCAGTCAAAGCTTGATCATGAACTGTCAACGTCTGGTGATTGCCACAGTGGAGTTAGGTCCCAACTTCCCAACCCACAGCAAGAATAACGAAGTACACTAAACTTGCAACTTTTCCGGCGCAAGCCTCCGAGATATGTAGCAGTGGCCGAGTGCTCGACCATTAATCTGTGTGGTTCTTTTAGTTAAAAATTTGCGTGTAACCGACTGCTTTTTAGTGACAAATTATATCCGGCAACTTTAAGTACACCGATGTAATAGCGGAGTTATTCAATGTAACATATTAGGGCAGATTTTCCGATTTGCGGGATAGAGAGAGACTAACTGAGTGAAAGAAACAACACGGCTTGTTATACAGTAGAATATCTACAGTTTTAAGCTTTAACTTCAGCGTTTTAAACTAGGTGAAGAAACAGTGACGCACCGGCGGCAGTGTTTTATGCTTAAAACGACGCCGTTCCTGTAGGTCCCACACTTAAGACAGAATATCCAAAAGCTTGTCTTTTGTTTGCTGGCCTTTCTCTTCTACATAATCTTAATCTTCTTTGACAATTTACATGTATGGGTATGGCAAGTAAATACATCGAACTAAGCCTAAAAATGTAATAATATGGTTAATTAGCTCTGCAAAAATGCAAATAAATTCGGAGACAAATACAAGAGTTGTGGAGATTAAAGTAAGAAATTAACTCTTTTTTTTTTCTTTTCATTTTTGTATGCAGAGGAGGGAGCAATTACATCTCTGAACGCCCGCAGTAAAAGCCCGAAGACAGTCTAACACACTCATATCATATGACCTAGAGAGCAACACAAAACAATTAAAAAAAAATTAAAGGAAACCCAGATGAGAAATTAAACTCGCTAATTAAGTGACATTAGTGATTAATTAGTGTCCAAAACGGAGGTGGACTCACAAAAGCCACTCCTCGTCCTCTGCCTGCCCGCCCTATGTAATTAAGTAATTAAGTAGTACTTCATACTTTTGTTTTCTCTTCTTTCTTACCACAAAAACTATTTGAAGACAGAAGAGGTCGAACGAATCTCAGAGCCAGAGAGCCCCGGCCTCTTTGAGAAGAGGGACAAGAGTGCCGTTGATATGAGAGGCCATCACTCTGTCCATTGCGCCAACGAGCTTGCCACCGATGAAGACGACGGGGACGGCGGAGGAGGTCCCCAGCAACCTCGTCAACGCCTTCTCCAAGTCCTTGCCTCTGGGGTCCTCGTCCAGCTCGTACACAGTAGGATTGACGCCCATGCCGCAGAAGAGGCGCTTAATGGCGTGGCACATGCAGCAGCTGCTTATGCTGAATATCACCACCGCGCTCTCCGACGCCATCCGCTCTATGCGCTCCATCGGGTCCCCCATGCCCATGGTGGTTCTTGTGGGCATGTAGGAGCCCCATGACTCGGTCTGGTAGTGCATTGTGCTAGCTTAAGTTAAATGTTAAGTTGGGCTTGTGTTGAAGTGAAGTGTAACTGGCTAGAAAAGCGGCTTTTTTGTTAAGTACTTGAGAGATCAGGTGAGAAGTAGTATGAGAAAGTAGTGAGATTTTGGTGAGGCACAGAGGAGAAGAGAGGGTCTGTACTTATAGGCCTATCGGTTCAACTTTTAATTATTTAGGGTTTGTGTTTGTTCTTTTCCGTTATATTTTATTTATTCAATGGGTATTCTTGGAATAAAAAAAAAATAGTGGGTCTATATGTATTGTAGTGGTCACTGGTCAGCGCATGCAAGAGAGAATAAGAGAAGAGGGGTAGATCTTTTCCTTAGAGATCAAAATTTTAAATTAAAATTTGTAAATTAAATAATGTGATTGTCAATGATCAAGATCTAAAATATCGATATTATCCTGATGTTTTCATCGAAATTTCAATGTTTTTTTTAGTACCGATATTTCCGATTTCATTGATATTTTAGACCTTGATATGAATTATATGTGGTACTAAGTCATTCATGTATCTTACCATGCAATGTATGAAGTGTAAAATATTGTACTAATTCATTACATATAAATGATTATGGTGTGTTTAAACTTCTTTCATTAATTACTACATATTTTCTACACTCACAATGTTTGCCAACTCGCTATATAATCAACTTAAATCAGTTAAATCCATCATGCAATGCATTTCCTTCCAATTTTTTTGTGATAAGTAATAGATAATTGACTAAATAAACATCTTGCAAAGTTTCAATAAAAATTTCCAAGTTTTTCTTACAATTTCCATGGTTTTTATTTAATTTTTATCGATATCGATAATATCCCGATATTTCCGTTTTTTTTTACTACCGATATTTCCGATATCATCGATATTTTATACCTTGTCAATGATTAATTTATTATTTAAGTATTGATTAATATGTTTATGTTCAGTTAATAACACATTATTTAGTTTACAAATTTAATATAAAATTTTGATCTCATAATCTTATCCCTTTATAGATCATATGATATAAAGATTGTTGGTTGAACAAATGAATCCAACCATCACATCGCATCATATAATCACAAAATAAATCTAACCATCACATCGCATCATATAATCACAAAATTTAATATAAAATTTTGATCTCATAATTAAAAAAATGAATCCAACCATCACATTGCATCATATAATCACAAAATAAATCTAAAAAAATAATTTCTCTAATATTACCCTATCAGTAAATAAAAACATATGAGAATTATTTTTTTTTTTTTTTTTTTGGTAAACACATATGAGATTTTCTATCCATTAATAATTTAATGGAATTATGGAGACTCATACTATATAGAGGAGAGGAGAGGAGACATGAAGGTCAGGCTTTATCAGAAGACAGTTGGGTGATAAACGGCTGTGTCCGTCCTTGTTGTCGGCCCTATCTACACCATCCGACTAGTTATCAAATTTATAAAACCTATAAAAAAAGGGGAGAACGTGCCTATCACAAACCTTTGTTCCTTCTCTTGACGTAACCCTTCATGAGCATTTTACTTTATCTACATCCCTGAACACCTTATAATGTTATATCTATTAATTAATAAAATCATCTTTATTAATTAAAAGAGAGTGAAAATATAATTTAATTTTTTATCACAAAAAAAAAAATTTGATGGGCAATAATGTAATTTTACAGGTCTAAATTTTACTATTTTTTATTGAAACCTCACCTACAAGTGATGTTAAAATACTTCCAATATTAAAAAAAAAAAAAATAAATATCTCTCTCCCCTCACGTTCTCTCTCTCTCTCTCTCTCTCTCTCATTTTCTTTCATACACACCGTGTAGGCAAATGCTAGTTTTAATTAAGAAAACAAATTTCTATTGATCTGTTTGGACAATTTATCGTTGGATAAGATGGAATTTGTAGACTTAGGCAGAGCTAATTTATTATTAGGAGGAATTAGGTTTTCATTCGTCTTTTTTCAATTTTATTGATTGAAACCTTGTTCCTTTACAAATTTTTATTAAGGTCACTTTGTTTTAATAAATATCTTTAATTATTTCAATAATATAATATTTTACATGTCAAAATTAATTAAATTTTATTTCTAAACATATTCATTTAGTGTTAGAAACGTTACATTTGATATATTTATATTTATGGATAAATTTTGTATCATATATTTTTATTTTTACTTTGTACCCATTTTAGTTTACAACCCTTTTTTTTTAATTGTAACAATTTTTTTTTCAGTTTTAGTTTGTACCAATGTATTAATTTATTTTTGTGTCCATATTTTTCAAACTATTATTTGTACTCATATTTTGTTTAACCTGTTATTTGTCCCCATAATTTATTACTGATGTACCCATTTGTCTTTAAAAATGTACCACTTTGTTATATGTAAAATATACTTTTTTTTATAAGTACCATTTTTTAATGTAAGACCTGTTTATTTATTTTTAATGAAAAATGTACCCATTGTTTTTTATTTATATAAAACGTACCACCTTTTTTGTATAAAATGTACCAACTTTTTGTATGTAAAATGTACCCACATTTGTAACATCCCACATCGCTCAGGGGAGTGATCCTTAAATGTATATTCCCATCCTTACCTAGCACGAGGCCTTTTGGGAGCTCACTGGCTTCGGGTTCCGTAGAAACTCTGAAGTTAAGCGAGAAGGAGGCCATAGCACTCCCAGGATAGGTGACCCACTGGGAAGTTGCTCGTGAGTTCCCAAAAACAAAACCGTGAGGGAATGGTAAGCCCAAAGCGGACAATATCGTGCTACGGTGGTGGAGCGGGCCTGGGAAGTGATCCGCCCCGGGCCGGGATGTGACAATTTGGTATCAGAGCCAATCCTTGATCGGAAATGTGCCAACGAGGACGTCGGGCCCCTAAGGGGGGTGGATTGTAACATCCCACATCGCCCAGGGGAGTGATGCTTAAATGTATATTCCCATCCTTACCTAACACGAGGCCTTTTGGGAGTTCACTGGCTTCAGGTTCCGTAGGAACTCCGAAGTTAAGCGAGAAGGAGGCCAGAGCACTCCTAGGATAGGTGACCCACTGGGAAGTTGCTTGTGAGTTCCCAAAAACAAAACCGTGAGAGAATGGTAAGCCCAAAGCGGACAATATCGTGCTACGGTGGTGGAGCGGGCCTGGGAAGTGATCCGCCCCGGGCCGGGATGTGACATTTTTATATAAATGCACCAACTTTTTGTATGTAAAATGCCATTAATATAAGTAATGACAAATCATGGGTTTTATTTAAGTATAATTTATTTTTTAATATTTTCAATCCCACAAATCATGGATTTTATTTAAATTTTTATTAATATAAGTACTACAAATATCAAATTTTAATTTAAAATCATAATAACCTACATAGAAATGCATATTGTATTAATTTCAGGGACTTCAATAAACGCAGCAACGAGTCAGGCACATCCATTATACAATACTGTAATAGCTATTGTCATTTCACATTATCTTCTATAAAATGAAAAAAAAAAAAAAAAACCAACAATGTTTCAGTCAAATAACATTAATAAATGGGAACTGCATCCAAAGTCACCCTTATTATTATTATAGACTTTCAGAGTTCTTGAGGAAGAGAGAGAAAGAGTATTTCTTAGAGATTAAGAAAACTGTTATTCTTCACATTAAATCAGTAGAATAAAACAATTACATATATATAGCCTTTTGGCTATTCACTCCTAACAAACTCACTCACTAATTACATGTGAGACAAACTTATATTAAACTAATAAAATCAACTCTAGTTATAATGTGACATCTTCATCTTTACACCCCCTCAAGCCAAACTTGGAATTAGAAAGAGTTCCAAGAGAGAGCTTGGACTGCAGAAACTGAAACCGAGATTTAGACAATGATTTGGTGTGAATATCTGCAACTTGGTCTTTACTAAACACATACTGCACTTTGACTAAATTGGCAAGAACTAATTCTCGAATGTAATGATAATCAATCTCCACATGTTTAGTGCGGGCATGGAAGATAGGATTAGAGGCAAGAGATATAGCAGAGATATTATCACACCAGAGAGTTGGGGTGGCAGATAAGGGGAAACCAAAATTTTTCAACACCTTGCAGACCCAAGTAAGTTCGGCTGCTGTGTGAGCCAATGACCGATATTCTGCCTCAGTAGATGAACGAGCCATTGTGGTTTGTTTCTTAGCACACCAGCTAATCAAGTTAGAACCCAAAAATACACAGAAACCACTAGTGGACCGTCGATCAAAGGGGCAGCCTGCCCAATCAGCATCCGAATAGGCAGAAAGATGTAAAGGACTCTGTTTGAACAAAAGACCGTGAGAAACAGTACCCTTGAGAAATCGAAGAATCCGCTTTGCTGCCTGCATATGAGTAACTGTGGGAGCATGCATAAACTGACAAACTTGATTGACAGCAAATGAAATATCGGGTCGAGTCCAGGTGAGATATTGTAAGGCACCCACAATAGATCGATATTCAGTAGGATTTGGTAACAAGACACCACTGTGATCTAATTTAGATGAACTGAGAGGAGTTGAACAAGGTTTAGCTCCATCCATATTAGTCTTGTGCAACAGATCAATGAGGTACTTGCCTTGATGCAAAAAGAGACTGTTGGTAGTTCTGTGCACTTCCAAACCTAAAAAATAGTGCAGGGGTCCTAAGTCTTTGACTGGAAACAATGTGCTTAACTGTTGAATAACACGTTTGCAGAGAGAAACATTAGGACCACTGATGAGTATATCATCAACATAAACGAGCACAAAAACCAAGGATGGAACTTGAAGAACAAACAGAGAGGCATCGGAAGAGGATTGAGTAAAGCCAAGAGATTGAAGAGCCTGAAACAACTTGTCAAACCAGGCCCGGGGCGCTTGCTTGAGCCCATATAAAGATTTCTTGAGCTGACAGACATGATTAGGAAGAGATGGATCTTGAAAACCGGGAGGTTGAACCATAAACACATCTTCTTTCAAATCCCCATGAAGAAAAGCATTGCTAATATCTAACTGATGCAGAAACCAGTTGAATTGAATAGCAAAGGTCAGTAAGATTCTGATGGTAACAGGTTTAGCTACGGGAATGAAGGTTTCGTGATAATCCAAGCCTTCCTGTTGGTGAAA